ATCCATAACTTAGGCGCCACCGCAGAGAAAGCCCTCCTCCGAGTACCTACCCTCCTAATTTCTTTCACGGAGGGTTCCCGGAGAAGGGCCTCTCCCGCCAATCTCAAGGGGCGGTCGGGCATATATGGACGTAAGCGCTCCTTCAGGTAGCCAGGACCCAAGCCGTTAAGGGCTTTATAGGTCATCACCAACACCTTGAATTGGGCCCGGACTTCAATGGGAAGCCAGTGAAGCTGACGGAGACCTGGAGTCATGTGAACATAATGCCCAGCCCCCGTCAGCAGCCTGGCAGCTCTATTTTGAACCAATTGAAGTATCCGGACCGTCTTCAAGGGTAGCCCCATGTAGAGTGCGTTACAGAAGTCAAGACGGGAAGTCACCAGCGCATGTGTCACTCTCGCAAGGCAGTCGTACTCCAGGTAGGGGCGCAGCTGATGAATTAGCCGAAGTTGGAGGAAAGCACTCCTCGCCGCTGCTGTCACCTGAGCATCCAATGAAAGCTCCGGGTCGAGGAGCACTCCTAAGCTTCAGACCTTGTCCTTAAGAGGGAGTGCAATCCCATTCAGGACAAGGTTCAATTCACCCTCACCGAAGCCCGATCCGCCAACCAATAGAACCTCCGTCTTGTCTGGATTGAGCTTCAGTTTATTGGCCCTCATCCAGCCCATTACCTTGGCCAGGCACTGGTTCAGTACAGCCACTGCCTCGCCTGGATTGGTGGAAAACGAGAGGTAGAGCTGGGTATCATCAGCATACTGATGGTTCCTCAGCCCACACCTCCTGATGACCTCTCCCAGCGGTTTCATGTAGATGTTGAACAGCAAAGGGGACAAAATGGACCCCTGCGGTACTCCATGGCTTAGCTGCCATGGCGCAGAGCCATAGTCCCCCAGCACCACCTTCTGGAACCGGCCACTGAGATAGGAGCAGAACCACTGCAAAGCAGTGCCTCCGACCCCCAATCCCGCTAGCCTATCCAGAAGGATACCATGGTCGATGGTATTGAAAGCCGCTGAAAGGTCCAGGAGAACCAACAGGGACGCACTCCCCCTGTCCTTCTCCCTGCACAAGTCATCATACAGGGCAACCAAGGCAGATTCAGTACCGTACCCGGGTCTGAAGCCGGACTGAAATGGGTCCAGATAATCAGTTTCATCCAAGAGTGCTTGGAGTTGTCCCTCCACCACCCGCTCTAACACCTTGCCCAGAAATGGGATGTTGGCCACTGGTCTATAATTAGTGGCCATCTCTGGATCCAGTGATGCCTTATTCAGGACCGGTCGGACTACTGCCTCCTTTAAAGGGGCAGGCACCCGACCCTCCCTCAGAGAAGCGTTAACCACCTCCAAGATCCAGATCCCAATCCTGTGCTTGGAATTATTTATTAACCAAGACGGGCAAGGGTCCAATAGGCAAGTGGTGGGACGTACTCGTCCAAGTACCTTGTCCACATCATCGGGCCGAAGTAACTGAAATTCATCCAATAATTCTGGACCAGACAGCGGCATTGGTGTCTCCCCAGAAACCTCTGAATCAATAGTGGAATTCAGCTCGTGACGAATCTGAGCGATTTTCTCCCTGAAATGCCTGGCAGAGTCGTCACAGCGGGCCTTTGAGGGTGGAACCAGGTCTTCTTTCGGACCTGGACGATCCAGGCCTTGCACCACTCGAAAAAGCTCCGCTGGACGGCATTGTGAGGAGGCAATGGAAGCAGAAAAAAAATCTCTTTTTCGCTGCCGTCACCGCCACAGCATAGGCCCGATAGTGGGCTCTTAAGTGTGTTCAGTCAGATTCATCCCGTGATTTCCTCCACCTATGCTCTAGCTGTCTCCCAACCTGCTTTATTGCCCTCAATTCAGGAGTGTACCAAGGGGAAGAGCGGGCTCTGCCCGGTGGGAGAGAACGCTTAGGAGCAATCGTGTCCACAGCCCTGGTCATCTCCCCGTTCCATAGTTCGACCAGAGCCTCGCAGGAGCACCCGTCTTGTCAGCCGGAAACTCCCCCAGGGCCTTCAGGAATCCTTCCGGATCCATCCGGCTCCGGGGGCAGACCCACACAATCGGGTCTGCACCCTTACAGAGGGAGAGGTTGCTCTCGAGCACAAACCTCACCAGAAAGTGATCTGACCATGACAGGGGAGTCAAGCATAAATTCCTCACCCTCAGACCACCCTCTTCCTGCCCCGTCGAGAAAACCAAGTC